TTGCATACATTATTTCCTGTTCTATAGCTTATCTTCCCATTTCTTAAGTTTCCTTCACTGAGCAGAAGTTTTAAATTGTGACATAGTCCAGTGTACTAATTTGTCCTTTTAGACTTGGTTTGAGTGTTGCTTCCAAGAAATACTCTCTTACCATTACAATTCCTTTGTTCAGAGAGGAAAATTCTCCCTCTGAGTGTCAGGTGACTGCGCTGCCAGCAGACCCCTTTCCAGCTCATTATAACTGAACTAGATGGCTTCTCGTGGAGCTCTGTCTACACCAGGGCTCACTTTCCAGGGCTCAAGTCTAGGCTGGGGAAAAGCTAGAAGGGAAAGGTAAATTGCTACTGAATAGGTAAATTCTGATTTATCTGGTAATCTCTCTCTCTCTGTCTCTCTCATATACTCACAAACACACACACAAGTCACACACAGCTAAAAACAAACATGTAGGTAGTTAGATAAAAATGTAAATAAGATCATTATTTCAGGATCTTTTCATCACAACAAGTATAACCATATCCAACCAAAAGAAGGCAAAGGGTTAAGGAAAAAAGAATTATACTCTGAAGTTTTTGTGAAACTGAAAGAGGATCAGGAAAGGGTTAAGAAACAGAACAGCAGCAGACAAGCAACCTTCAGTCTCGAAAGGCAGAGACGGAGGAACTGCTTCTGCAGTCTTCTCTCAGCCTACTCTGTCCTGATTACACTGATGAAACAGGTATCAACTAACCATAGATTTCTGGTGCTCTCATGTTTGCTGTGTGATGGTGGCTAATCACCCACCCTATTTTTGGTATCAATGTTGACCTTCGTAAAATGAAAGCAGCAGATCAATATACCTAGAAAGTTCTTTACAACTTCCATCTGTACAGTCCTAAAAGGAGCCTATTATAGTTAGGGTTGACCTGTGCACTGGTAAAGACTTCACTGCATGAACAATATGGAAGAGCTTAACCACCACATGGCTGCCTACCATGTTAAAGTAACAGAACAGACTAAGCACATCCTCGTGATGCTGGCAAGCTCCCAAGAGTCCTCATTAATCACTAATTCAGGGAAATGTAAAGAGCACCTACTATGTACCAATCACAGTACTAGATAATTAGGGATAAAAGATGAGTAAGATAGGAGTTCTGCAACAATTCATTTGTCAGACACTTACTGAATGCTTACCAGGAGTCAGCTACTCTTCTAGACAAAAGGATATGACAATGACTGTAACAGACAAGATACCTGTTTTCCAAGGAGCATATATTCTAGTTAGAGGGATGTTCTCTTCCCCATCCTCACTAGTAAAATGCTCTTTAGGCCTTGGACTAAAGAATGGGTGGACTCCAGGTGACTATAAGCAATCAAACAAGACCACTATCATGACTGGATCACCTGAACCACAGTGAAAAATGCACTCTATGTTAGAAGTCTCAAGATCTCTGCTCTGCTGCTCATTTGCTGTGGATCTTTGGAAAATAAGTTTTTGTTTCTGGGTTTTGATTTCATGAGAAAAGCAAAAGGGTTAGACTAAATCAATGATTTTAAAATCTTCCTAACAGCATAGCCCTTTATGAACATATTAAAACTAACCTCGCTAATCAGAAAAATGCATATAGATAGTAACTTTTGCATATAATTCAAGATGTCCATTGACAGCCTGACGCCTCTCCTACGTAAGAATCTATGAACTAGATTTCAATGAAATGCCTTCTAGCTCCAAGAACTCTATGATTTCATTCCATTTTACATCCTCTGCTCCCCCTAGGATTCTAGTCTGCAATTGTCAAGAGGTAGGAAGACATGTTTTTGTTTGTTGTTACCTTAATTAAGTTATATAGGCCAAAGACCAGATGTGGTGGTGCAGTAGTAATGCAATGCACAACCACATGGGAAGGTCCTGGGTTTGTGTCCTGAGGTCTCCCTATCAACACCGATGTGTACATATGTGCCAATGACCTTGGGCAGCTGTGGCTGGGGATGGATCACAGTGGGAAGACCTGTTGGGGGTGACTCTCTTTCTCTCATAGAATAAATAAACTTTTTTAAAAAATACATAAACAAAAAGAAAAAAGAGAGACGATACCAAGAAAGAAACATATAGCAAGCTGAACAAGATATTATGAAAATTACATAAGAAACATGTAGAGGGGCCAGTAGGTGGTGTGGAGGTTAAGTCAGCTGGATCCCACATGGCCAACTCTCTGGTTCAAGTCCCAGACCCAGTGGCTTGAAAAAACACACTACGTGCCTATATGAACAAGATATTATGAAAATTACATAAGAAACATGTAGAGGGGCCAGTAGGTGGTGTGGAGGTTAAGTCAGCTGGATCCCACATGGCCAACTCTCTGGTTCAAGTCCCAGACCCAGTGGCTTGAAAAATCACACTATGTGCATGTATGTGCATGCTCAAAATCCTGAAGGGAGAATGGAGGAACAGGGACTGCAGTGCAGCCATCTCTCCTAGAGGATGATTTCTCACTTTATCTCTCTTTATCTCTCTCTGGTGAAAGCACACAATAGCAAAAACTAAAAAATAAAGATACATGTAAATACGAACATGGTAACTGTGACAACACAGCACTAAAATTCTTTGATACCTAGCTATCAAGAGGTAGAGTTGATGTACCTTCCTCTTAACTCTGAGCTCTGTTCCTGCTTCAATAACAAAATACTGCAAAAGTGGGCCAGCTCCATAGCCCAGCTGTTAAAGGAGCTAGATCATACATGGCAGAACCACAGTTCAAATGTTGGCCCTGGCAGCTTGAAAAACATGCCGGGTGCATGTATGTGTGTATGCCCCAAATCCTGATGGGATAGAGAAATGGAAGAAAAAGGATTGCAGAATGAACACATCCTGTGGGAGGCGGTGTTTTCTCTCTCTTGCTCTCTCTGGTAAGCACACATCCTATGTCAATGAAAAATAAAATAACGAAGTACGTCATAAGTGATGCCAAGCCATTTTGCAGACCCAGGCCTTAGTAACAGGTCGCTTCCTTCTCCTATCTCTAGAGAGGCTCACCTTGGAACCCAGCCACCACACTGCAAAGGCCCAGGCCACACATAGGTGTCCCAAAGTTGGTACCAATTGCCAGACATGTGAGTGAAGGAATCCAAAATGAGATCAGCCCCAGCTTATAGAGGAACAGAAACACACCAACCCAGCCACAGCCTGTCCTAATTCCTGATGCACACAGTCCACGAGTGCAGCAATGGCTATTTTCCCCCACTGTGTTCTGGGTGGTTTGTTACATCACAATAGATCACTGGGGCATCTTTAAGCTACAAGAAATCAGACGCTATTTCTCACTCAGTTATCATGAATCAGATTATTTGTCTCAAGAGTAAATAAGTACTGTTGAAGTTACAGTGGCATTAATTTAATTTAACAGAAAATCATAGGTCTAGAAAACCATATTGAAACTCTGAAGGGGGTCACTATCCTGACAAATCACCAAATAAACAAAAAGGGAGCAGGAGAGAGAGACAGAGACACAGAGAGAGAGAGAGAGATCGATCTGATCTGTCAATGACATTATCCAGAAGTACTAGAGTTAAGTTTCCAAGTTCAATCATTAAGTACTTACAGAGTACCCACCAGTGCTAGGCACTATTCTAGATGTTAGGCACACAGCTGTGAACCTAACAGATAGAAATCACAGCCTTCACAAGGAGAGAGAAAGAGACAGCAAACAGGACCAGTAAGTATGTTTAAATGGCATTAAATGCCGAGGAGAAATGTGTAATAAGGAAGGAGGTGAGGAAGTGTTCCTGGCAGTGATGACACTAGGAAGAGCTTGCAGTTTTATTGCTGTTGTTATTTTTTATGCCAGAGGAGGCATACATGTGCCCAAGAGAAAGGGGAGAGACAGACAGACAGCACTCCCCCAATGGACCTGGTTACACCACAATCCTACAATTTTACTTATGCCACACTGAGGTGACGTCTGCATCAAGATCTCAAAGAGGTGGGGAACACAAGGAAAGAACATTCCAGACAGAGCAAATAGTAAGTACAAAGGTCCTGAGGCCAGTGTGGCTGGGATTGATTAAACAAGCAAGAGTAGTAAAAGATGAAGTTAGAGAAGAAGGTGGGATTAAGATTGCATAAGCAAATTCTGGCAAAAATCCATCAGCACTGAACTTGAAACCAAGAGACCTCGACTCAGTGAGAGCGGGAATATTTTTGTCAGTTTTGTTCACTGATTTATCGCCAGCCCCTAGAATGGTGTAGACACTCAGAACACATTTGTTGAATGAACGAATAATATTAAGACGGACCAGTCAATACTCTAGGTACTGGGGAAGGACCAGAAGCAAAAAGGACAAAAACCTTGTTCTTTCAGGGCTAGCATCTCCCCTCCTCCCCCCCCCCCCAAACTTCCCCTGCTGGGCCGCCCTGTTCTCTGGAACTTTCTGGCTTTTAGTAATACCTTCCACGAAAGTCCTCGGGGATTAGCAGATCGCTAACGCATACTCCCTTTGCACCCCCTTCCTCCAGCCCAAACAGCCCTCATTCTTCCAAGGAGTAAGCAAGGAGGCAGGACCTCGAGCGAAATCGGCGCTGGGTGGGGCGAAGGCAGGCGCCGAGGCGCCTGGGCCGAAAAGGCAATCAGCAGAACCGCTCAGACTCCGGGCCAAGGTCAACACCCGCGGGACCAACGCAGGTGTGTCACCTGACCCCCCCTTCCAGGATCGCCACCTGCCCTCCCCAGGCCCACAGCGATCCCTGCCGGGCGGAGTACCGGCCCCAGGGGGCGCCCTGGCCCGCGGACCGAGGCGGGAGGGGCCGCCCAGGGTCCTCACCCGTCTGACCTCGCCTTTTCTCCCCAGTCTCCTCGGCGAAAATCCCCAGCAGCATTCTTGGGGGCTCCAGGCTCCCGCCTCCCCAGCCTGGGCCAGCTGCCCCGGGAGGCCCTTTTTCGAGATGCCTCGCACCCACTCCATCCCTCTCCCACAGCCGCAGCTATTCAGGGCCTCCCAGACACCCGCCGCCCGGCCGCACTCACCTGCGAGCCCAGCGCCGGCCCCTCCATCTCCGCAGGCACCGGAGGCGGCGGCTGCTTCTCCGCGAAGTGGCGGCCGCAGCCCGCCCGCCAGCGCGCCCCGGGCCGCTCTACTCACACTTCCTGCTTGCGCCCCCGCCTCTGCCGCCGCGGTCCCCGCTCGCGCGCTGCGCCGCCAATCACCCTGGGAGAGCCAATCCCCGCCCGCTCTCGGCCGGGGCGGGACTTTCTCGCCGCCCAGGAACCCAGTAGGGAAACCGCCGGGCGGAGGCCCCGCCCCGCCGTGTGCTCGCCCAGCCCCAGCTGGAGACAGCTCGCCTCTCTCAGGTGTCCACCTGCCCCACGTGTGCATGCAGGTACAGGATCGACGTCAGCCAACAGCTACTCAGAGCAGATCTGGACTTGCTTACTTCAAAGCTAGATGACCTTGAGAAAGTCCCTTTGCCTCAGTGTCCTCACCCGAGAGATGGAGACAATAAGGCCACCTACTTCGTAGATTTGACAGAAGGATTAAATGAAGGAAAAGCATGGGAAGCCTTCAGTCAATGCTTGGCACATGGAAAGGAAACAGTAGGTGTTTGCTATTGAAATCGTTACCACTCCCCATTGATGCAATCTCAGGCAAATCGCTTCGGCCTTTTGAGCTCTGTTTCCTCATAACCTGATAGAAAATATGTGAGTTCCACAGTGCAGGCTACAGGGGGATTGGGCAAGAACCCCCACGTGCAGCTCCCAGGCTATTTGGTCGGTTGCACGGGAGAAGCTGGTGTTTAATCCTACCCAGCGTCAAAGTTCTACCAAGCAAGGCTATGACTTGGTCCCTACCCTTATGAGCTCTGGTGGGGAGGAGGGTGTCTCCTACCTCAGCTTCCAGAAGACACGAGGAATTTTCTAGTTCATCACTTAACACAGTTCTTTGTAATTATTCTTAATGTGTCTCTTGTCAAACCAAATCAGATTACAACTTTTAGAAGCAAATTTTTTAAAAAATGAAAATACAACTTCCTTATCCATAAAATACACCTCTAGGAATCTAACAAAGTGCTGGGTTTCTCCATGAAAAATACTACAATGATACAATAAAATTGTCATTTCCTTTTTATTTTACTGCCTTGTCTATCGGCACACCTGCCTGCCTCGCCCTCAAACCCCCAAGCCCTTTGAAGGCAGAAACCATGCTGTAGCCATCTCTGCACTCTGGTGCCCAGTACAGAAGACATGGAAAATGTTCAGCCCAATTTTATTGAGTGGATGGGTATTTGTACAGGTATGTCATCAATGTATACAATACAAGAAGAGACAAATTGAGCAACAAATAGACACGTACGCAACTTCCTTCGAGAGCCAGAGGAAAACAATTAATTCAGGCATTGGGCAAGGCTTCACAGGAAAGATTCTCTCGGTGGGGTCGTTTTGCTAACTAATCAGAGCTTTGTTCCTTGATCATTTACTGTGTGTTGGCACCTGTGCCATTTGTTTTGCATACATGTCTAATCCATGAGATGGGTGTATTTTTCCTGTTTCCCAGAAGAAGATATTGAAGTTCAGAATGATTCCATAAACCCCAAGTCCCTCAAATCTAAGCGATGGAGAAAGGGTTCACACCCAGGTCTCTTTACTGCAAAGTGCTATGACCCAAGTAGTTCAGTTCTTTCATTTTCAAGGACTGATTTAGCAGCACTTGAAGGAGGCTTGAGATCTGCTATTTAAATACAGCTACATTGATATTTTAACCACATTGGAAGATTCTGGAGCAAATAACACTGCACACTTTCGCCAGACTCCTGGTTCCCCTCAGCTCATTGTCTTATGCCCCCAACAATCTGCTTTAGACGAGATAAACACATCCATGTCTAATGGCTATATGAAAGCATCCCAGTGATGCCTTGGAGTGCCACCACAACCTCCTGTCTTGGAAAATACCTTCGGCTGGCAGGTATGCCCCAGGAGAATGGCATGCTGGTAGGAACATGCTCCTGGCACTGACTGCCTGAGCCTGGACCCCAGCTCCAGCCTTAGTGACTATGTGCTCTTAAGCAAGTCACCAAATCTCTTTGTACTTCGGTTTCCTCATCTATAAATTTAGGACATTAGCAGGTCTTACTCTACAGTGCTGTCGAGAGAATTACTTAAGTTAATGTACGTAAAGTACGCAGAAGAATACCAGGTACCACCAGGCATGACATGCAGGTTAGCTATTTTTTTAAAAGAATTATTTAATTTTATTTATCATTATTATCATTTTTCAGTTTGCTGCAGGGCATATGCATTCACCAGAGAGAAAGAGAGAGAAAAAGAAAGCAAGCTGCCAGGTCCAGGACTCAAACTGCTATCTGCCATGTTGGAGTCCAGAATCTTAACCACCACGCCACCTGCTAGATTAGCAATTATTATCATTGCCAGCCTGCTCCTCAGGAGTGGGGGTGGGGAGAACACTGGATTGGTCAGGTGGGCAAGGTCATGCCAAGGACTTGGAACAGAGATGCTGTAGACATGACTTCTAGTCCAAGCTCACCATCGTTTTCTGTGTGGAGAAATAATTTGCCAGGGCTGCTGCAGCAGAGCACCATAGGATGGCTTCAACAACAGAAACTTATTATGTAACAGTTCTAGGGGCTATGAGCCTGAGGTCAGGGTGTTGGCAGGTGTGGGTTCTTCTGGGATCCCGTTCCTTGGCTTGTAAATGGTCATCTTCTCTGCGTGTCTTCACATGGTCTCCCTCTTTGCAAGTACCATGCCTGCGTGTTGGTGTTCTCTCTTCTAGAAACATCAGCTGGGCTAGAGCCCACCCTAGTGACTACATTTTAACCCTATCAATTGTTTAAAGACCTAGCACTGGGCATAGCCACCCGAGGTACTGGGGGTTAGGACTTCAGTATATGAACTTCAGGGGGATAACATTCAGCCCATGACACTGTGTGACCTTGGGAAAGTCACTTTGCCCCTCTGTGCCAATTGCTCATTTGTGAAATAGGGTGAGAGCAGAGGTGGGAGCCCTAACCTCTACGGTTCCTCACAAACTCGCTCCAGCCAAGACGAAGATCCGCCTTTCTGGTCCTCACAGCATTTTCAGATCTCGTTTGGGTGACACTATTTCCCCCTTTCTACAAACATGCTCCAGGCACTGTTCAGTTCTGGGGAGTCCATATTGACCAAGACACAGATTGCTCCCTGGCTTCCTGGGCTGACCGTCTAGCTGCAAGATACAACTTTAACCAGTGGGTTCACAATACCCACCCCGCCCCCAGAGTCAGCCTTGTAGCTCTTGGGTAGTTCTCCCTCCTCTACCTGGCCATGGCCTGCCGGTACACATCCAGCTTTCTGTCCCCTCCATGCTTTGCATGGGTCTCCCACATGGTGACACCTAAAGAGACATGTAGTTGAAAAAACTAAACAAATAAATGACCGTTCATTCATCCGACGACAACATGGGTGGCTTCCTGCCATAAATCACTCTAAGAAATGCTGATTTCACAATATTTAACAGTTCTGGATTTTATAATGTTCAAATTAGGGGTTATTAGCCTCCACTGTCACAATATGGTCAGCAAGGGGCCAGCAGTTAGCATAATGGCTATGTTGCTGGACTGCCACGCAGTCAACCATGGTTCGAGTCCTGGACCTGGTGGCTTAAACTCATGCTGGGTGTGTGCACGTGCGTGCCCAAGATCCCAAGAGGAGAACAGAGGAGAAAGGATTGAAATGTGGCCATCTCTCCACCAAGATGATTTCTCTCTTTCTGTCTTTCTGTCTCTCTCTGTCTTTCTGGCGAGCACACGTGCCCTATAGCAAAAACCTCTCCAAAAAAAAAAAAGAAAGAGACAATATGGTCAGCAACGGACTTTGTTCAGACTGAACCTTTGATGGGGGCCTCATTTCTTCCACACTCCCAGGAAGGACAAGGGCGTTTTCTAAACCAGGGGCTTGCAGTTGTAATCTTTTCCATGTTGGCACCAAGGTGACCCTTCGGGATGTCAGAAATTCCACTCATATTTCAGCTGAGGGCTTCTCCTAACAGCAGTCAGGAAATTCAGGTTCTCTGCAGTACCAAGCCAGAGTGACTGGGTAGAGATGAGTGCTGGGTCCTTTCAGCAATGGAGGTTTGTCTTGCTCTTACCATGTGTGAAATTCAGGCTAAAGCCCAAGCGTACGGTGGTGGACTACACTGCTCTACTCTTCTGGAGTTCAGTTTGAGGGAGTAAGTGCTGAGAGAGATAGATAAGTAAATAAAAAGTTGAGTTGGGCCCAGTCCTCCGTGGCACAGAGGCAGCATGCCAAGCTGCAGTGCTGGGAGCTACTGGCTGGCCGTGGGTTTCCATCCCAGCCCTGTCGTCCTGAAATACTCTGGCATGTGCAAGCTGCCAAGATTCTGCCCAGTTGGAGGCTCTGGAAGAAGGGGGTCATGGCGGGACAAGACCTTGTTGGGGATGCTTCTCTCACTGTCTTTCCCACTCTCATGCACACACATGTGCTCTCTATTATGAATTTTAAAATATGTTAAAAACAAGTGAAGATGATAAGTGCTAAAAAGGAAGAGTATCAAGACCAAATACAGGGACCCGCTTTTTCCTGGGGGGATGGAGCGAGGTAGACTCCTCTTCAGAAATTAATACATTATGGGGTCAGGTCAGCAGGTGGTAGTGATTAAGGTGCTAGCTTTCCACATGGCCAACCATGGTTTAAATCCTGGTCCCGGCAGCTTGAAAGTCGTGCCAGGTATGTATGTGCGCATGCCCCAAATCCCAGGAGAATGGAGGAGGGGGGTTGTAGCATAGCCATCTCCCACTGGGGTGATTTCTCACTTTCTCTCTCTCTGCCTCTCTCCAGCAAGTGCACATGTCCTATGGCAAACACCAAAAAAGGAAAGAAAATCATAAAACTATCTCAAAAGGACTTTCTC